CAGAGCTACAGCGCCAAGGGAAAGAAGTCCCACAACTGGACAGTGCACACTATTCTAAGCAGGTTCAGAGCATCTCAGCAGAATTTGAGAGACGATTTACTGACTTTTCCTCCATCGAGCCTGTTACCAGCTACATGTGTTATCTTTTTGGAAATGTTGATGTGGATGACATTGTGTCCAAATTGGTGTCCGTGTTTCAGCTGGACAGCTCTGGTGTTGAAAATGAGGTGTTGACTCTGCAAAATGACATTGGGATCAAATCCAGAGCATCACCTGGCGTGGATGGAGAGTTGTGAGTCTGCTTTTTCACACATGAAAATAATCAAGTCCAAAAACAGATCCACAATGAATGATGATCATCTGGAGACCTGCCTGCGCCTCGCAACCACCTCATACTGCCCAGCTTATGAGACCCTGGCCTCCTCCTCTCAGTGTCAGAAGTCCCACTAAGGTAGAGACACATTTATTTTATACAGCTTGCATAAAAAGTTGTCTCCTATAGACACATCACGTTCTGTTTTATTTACTTTAAAGAAGTGAGGAGTAGGGATTGATGAAAAATTGTGTTTGTTGATAATGAGACTGGAAGAGTAGCTCTCGGCAAATTGCTGACTTCAAAAGTAGTTCTTGGTTCAAAAAAGGTTGGGCACCCCTGATATAGATCAACCAGAAGGTTTTGAGAAGAAGTCTAACACAGGAGAAAAACTTGTTTGCAAGTTACAAAAGTCCTTGTATGGTTTAAAACAATCTGGCATAAACTGGAATGCTTTACTTCATGCGTATTTAAGTGAAAATGGTTACAAACAAAATCCTAGTGATCAGTGCATGTATACTAGAGAGACAAATGGTGAAAAGATCATCTTACTGGTATGGGTGGATGACCTCATCATTGCAGCTGATAGTGAAGAAGTTTTGAAGGGAGTAAAGAAGATGTTAAATGAAAAGTTCAAAATGAAAGATCTAGGAAGATTGAAACATTTTCTAGGAATAGACTTTAACCAAACAGAAAAACAAGTAAAAATGTCACAGAAAAATTATGTGACCAAAATATTAAAGAGATTTGGAATGGAGGATTGTAAACCCAGAGATACTCCATGTGAGCCAAAGCTAGAATACTCAAATGATGTAGAAAAAAATGGAAGACCCAAGGAAATACAGAGAGGCAGTGGGAAGTTTAATATACTTGTCCACTTGTACACGACCAGATATAAGTTTTGTGGTCAGTAAACTTTCTCAATACTTTACTGAACCAACAATAGAACACGTTTTCTGATATCTTAAGGGTACAGCAGAAAAAGAGTTGAGTTTTAAAGGAAATGACTCACAAAATCTCGGATTAAAAATCTACTGTGATGCCGATTGGGCATCAGATTCAACAGATAGAAGAAGCACATCAGGATATTGTGCTAATTTAAATGATGAAAGTTCTTTGATCTCTTGGAAGACAAAGAAACAACCAACAGTGGCATTGTCTACCTGCGAGGCAGAGTACATATCGTTAGCATCAGCTGTACAAGAATGTCTCTATTTAGAGCAATTTCTGAAAGGCATAGATTGTTACGAGTATGTACAAACAAAAGTGTTTGAAGACAACCAAGGTACTATTGCACTTGCTAAGAACCCAGTGAACAGGCAAAGAATTGTTTTAACACATTGATATTAAGTATAATTTTATTAGAGAAATTGTTAACACTGGAAAAATAGTGCTGGAGTACTGTCCAACTGATAAAATGATTGCAGATTTGATGACAAAACCTGCTACTAAGTTGAAACTGAGAAAATTTACTCAGGGCATGTTTGGAACATAAATATGCAGAGACATTTTCATTTCTGGTAAGAAAGACCTTATGTTTTATATGTTTTCAGGACTAACAAATGAGTTACGAGCGAGTGGGGGTGTTAAACGTTATTGTTATTGACGCTCTTACTCAAAATGTGTTCTAATACTGCAACCTACTGGTGTGTTTTATTTTTTATATTTCTAGTATGTACGTGCATTACATTATTACGTCTTGGGTGAAGAAGACAAAAAGGCGTTCTGTGCACACGAGCTGTGTGCGTACAGCACTGAAGGTCTTCGATAAATATGCCAGAAAGAGGCTGAAGAGACCCAACGAATCACTTGTTTCTGTCTCTTTGCAACGCCGTCACCTCTGCGCTACAATCCATTCAACAGGTATAGTTTTTTAACTTTTGACTCCAGTGCGCCCCCTACATTATTTTAACAGTTATATCTCTGAAATATTATCCAATACGTACCAGATATATTATGCGTTATCAGTGAGCACTTAAAGAACAATACCAATGTGTCTAACATTTGACTCAAGTGCGCCCCTACATTATTCCAACAGTTATATCTCAGTGATACATCATCCAAATCGGAACCAGATTTAGACACATTGATATTGTAGTTTAACATATGACTCAAGTGCGCCCCCTAGATTATTTAAACAGTTATATCTCAGTGATATATCATCCGATCTACGCCAGATTTTGGGTACGTCATTAGTGAGCACTTCTAGACACACTGGTATTGTTGTTTAACTTTTGACTCAAGTGCGCCCCCTAGATCATTCCAACAGTTATATCTCAGTGATTTATGATCCAATCTGAACCAGAATTTTTGTGCATAATTAGTGACCACGTCTAGACACATTGATATTGTGGTTTAACATATGACTCAAGTGTGCCCCCTACATTATTCCAAGAGTTATATCTCAGTGAAATATCATCAGAGCTAGGCCAGATTTTTAGTATGTGATTAGTGAGCATTTCTACACACACTGGTATTGTTGTTTAACTTTTGACTCCAGTGAGCCCCCTAGATTATTCCAACAGTTATATCTGAGTGATACATCATCCAAATCGGAACCAGATTAGACACATTGATATTGTGGTTTAACATATGACTCAAGTGCGCCCCCTAGATTATTTAATCAGTTATATCTCAGTGATATATCATCCAATATGTACCAGATTTTATGTACGTCATCAGTGAGCACTTGTAGACACATTGGTATTGTAGATTCATGACATCACTTAAGCCCCACCTACTCAGAGAAAAAAACTGTTGATTATTGGATGTCACTGTGTAAGATATCCTGATGCATGCTCAATAATCCAGGTAGAAAAATCCAAAAAAGTTCAATCTGGTCCTCTGGACATTCAAAAAAACAAAAAACAAAACAAAGCAAAAAAAAATCTAGAAACGTTTTGTCTCTCATCCAAGAGACTTCCTCAGTCTGAGGTGCTGTTTTCAGCTCAGTCTCTTAAATAGCACCTTCACAGAGTGGATCAACCAGTTTGCTGCTGACAACCAAAACCAGCTGATCACATGCTCAAGAAGGACCATCAGCCTAACAATGGATCATTAGCACACTGATGGCTGTT